TTCGTATCAAAAAAATTAGTTGGGGAAGCTACCCCCTACCGAGTCGCGAGTGCCACAGGGAACTGTATTGTGACCCCTATTGTTTTTGTTTTATATAACGATCTTGTTGGTGTAGTTAAAGAAAGTAATGTAGAGCTTTTTGCTCATGACATCATGACTCGTGTTGCCGGTAGGATCTAAATGAAATGCAACTTGCTCGATGATTTGGGTAAACCGTTTGAATGGCTTTGTGATAATAACTTGAGCAAAAATGCATCTAATTTCAAATTTTGTATATGGATTTTGAAAAACCGATTTGTTCAAGCTTTGAACCCTGTATCTCGAAAACTAAGCATTTGCGGACCTATGTTTCCATTTTTTTTTTTCCTATTTCAATGAGTACTATTTATCCTAGAAGTTTGATCCCACTATTTATTAACACCCTGTATTTGGTAAAAAGTATGGTGTAAGTGATCTAGATTTGAATGCTGTAGAAATGATAAATTATAAAAAAATTATATGTACGAGAAGGAGAAGAAGTATCTCGGATTAATATTTGATGCTGAATTTTGGAAAAAATCTCGAAAAAAGTTGGATTTATATGCAGAGTGGGCCAGAATTTGTCGATGCAATCAAAAAGGGTACTGTACTTCTGTAGAACTTACCAAACTTTGGAGTTTACGAATTTCAAATAATTCAATACAAAGCACTTCGTACTATTTCGCAATGCAATAGATACACTTCCATTGCTTATATGTTAATGTAGTGGGATTAGTGGGAATATAGAGGCCCTCGGGCTAGTTTTGCCTTCTGGGCATTAAAATCTAAATAATGTCAGTACCTAAAGCAGAAAATATAAAGCCATCATATATTATATCTGTGATAAAGTTAAAATAAACACCCAGAATTAAAGAGTTGATCCGGATCGAAGTACTTAATCCAATCCTCCAAATATGTAGGATTGGACTTAAAATGGATTATCTCAATAGTGAAATAAACACCTTAATCTCGGATTTGAAAAATTTGTTGCTAACTTCAAGAAAAAATCACATTTGTCATTTGTAATTTCCTTTGGTCTAGTAAAATTGTCGATTTTCAAAAAAAAAAAATCCTACCCAAAAGAACTTTTCAGGGATGATAGGGGGACGGTGGGTGATCATAAAACCGAAAATATCAAACATTCACCCCTCTGGCGTTTGGCGCTATAGGGGTTGAAAGTGCGCCATTGGCGATTACTTGGTACCTATTGATTTTACAAAAAAATGTTTCATATAAAAGATGTGCAACATTATTTGATCTACAATGTTTATCTAAAGACTTTTTTGATTAAGGGCCGTCTATGGTCATAAGGGCCGTTTGAAATTTTATAATGAAAATGAAAAATTTTAACCAACGTGAAAAAATTTTCTACAACTCATACTGCATTTTTGCTCTACGAAGTTTTTACACACCCCCTGCCGTTTTTCAATAGGGATAGTTTAATGTTTTTTTATTTTTTTACAAAAAAATGTTCTTAATAAAAGTTTTATAAGATGACATTTCCTACAATTTTTCCTAATCAACTTTTTTTGTAACTCACCCCCATTCAGCGGGGGGACACTTCCCACGGGGAAATTTTAGTTTTTAGGGGTATATATTATTATTTTTTTCTTTTCTCGCCTTTAGTGCATATAAAAAGTTGCAATTAACATTGTATTAATAGTTATTTATGATATAAGTGTTAAAAGTACATTTTTAAGGCATGCATGTGAAAGTTTGCAGAATGAGCGAAGCGAATTCTGCAATTCACATAAGTGCCTTAAAAATACTTTTAACACAAATATCATACAATATTTTTTCTACAAACGGCAATAAAAAGCAATAACCTGTAATAAATTGGATTTTTAAATGAATAATAAATTGGAAGCACCTTTCCTACATAAAATTATTGAATTTGACATTTGTCAAAAAGTCCAAACAACCAGCACCTTGTTTTACAGGTAATGAAATGTCTTGTCAGTTTCTTGAAAATCTCTCGTGGTCAGTAATGCTTTTTACTTAAAATGCAACAAAATACAGAAGAAAAAGAAAAAGGCGTCGATCCCTTGAAAAATATAGATGAGGCGGCCAATCGGGCTACCTCAGTTGTTCAAATTTCACCATTAATATCAATGTAAATAACTAAAAATACAAACTTTTTTTGACGTTCGCTCTCAAAATTTGATGTTTCATTTCTAACACTAGTGCTATAAAGACATGGCACTAGTGCGATAAAGTAACATTTTTAATGCTTCGGGGGGGTATTAAAAATTGCATTTTTTTAACACGTTTGTAGAAAAAAGGTTTTTTTTTTTTCACAACCTTTTTGTTTTTAGGGGTAGTTCGCCTATTTTCAACTTTACAAAAAAAAATTATTGAGAAAACTTGTTAATTTTATTATTTTGAGCAACTTTTCTCCATAACTTTTTTTTGTAAAGTTGAAAATAGGCGAACTACGCCTAAAAACAAAAAGAAAAGAAAAAAAAATTAAAATACCTATACCCCTAAAAACTAAAATTTCCCTAAGGGAAGTGTCCCCCCGCTGAATGGGGGTGAGTTACAAAAAAAGTTGTTTGGGAAGAATTGTAGGAAATGTAATCTTATAAAGCTTTTATAAGGAAATGTTTGTTGTGAAAAAATAAATAAACTTTAAACTACCCCTATTGAAAAACGGTAGGGGGTGAGTAAAAACTTCATAAAGCAAAAATGTTGTATGTGTTGTAGAAAAATTTTTCACGTTGGTTAAAACTTTTCATTTTCATTATAAAATTTCAAACGGCCCTTATGACCACAGACGGCCCTTAATCAAAAAAGTCTTCAGATAAACATTGTAGATCAAATAATGTTGCACATCTTTTATTCGAAACATTTTTTTGTAAAATCAATAAGTACCAAGTAATCGCCAATGGCGCACTTTCAACCCCTATAGCGCAAAACGCCAGAGGGGTGAATGTTTGATATTTTCGGTTTTATGATCACCCACCCGCCCCCTATCATCCCTGAAAAGTTCATTTGGGTAGGAATTTTTTATTTGCAATACATGTAGTTTTCGACTAATTTCCTAGACTACTTGAGGATTGATGTTATTTGGTTCCATTTGGATATTTTTTTTATGGAGAACCGGTGTAAGGAAAGAAAATGTTTACCTTTAAATTGTTAATTAAAACTATTTTTCATCATTGTTGCCTTTAATGAAGTTGTCACAAACGACAAGGCTTAGGAAAAGATTAACCCTAATGTCACTAATCTTATTTCCATTCAATAGTTGTGAAATAAACGAATATGGATTAATAATCATTAATCCACTTAGTATCTGGATACAACGCGTGAAATAAACGTAGTCAATAATGTGTACTTTTTTCTTACTAGAAAACATCATTTTCGACCCCCTAAACAAAAGAGGAATATGGTTTTTTTCCTTCCTCAGGACAGAAATTTTCGAGGATTTTTTTTTTCCTCCCTTTGAACAGAAATATTCCCTCCGGCGGGAGGAAAACTTCTGCGAGAGGATTTTTTTTTCTTCACTGGAAACAGGAATTTTCCTCTTTCTAAATTATTAAACCATCAAAAATGCTACTTAAATAGACTTTTGGATGAGAGCGGCAGGTATTAGTTAGCATGGCAAGGACAACAAGACAGAGAATTAGAGAAATAAGAATTATGGACCTAAGACACACACTGGTAGATGATGTTATAGACTGTGAAATCCATTATTTCTAACAGGGGAACAATAAACGATGAATCCACCCAAGAAGTAATGATTCCGCAAGTATTTTTATAAAGACACGATGAATTTTGTAATGTAACTAACTGCTTAAAACTCTTCTATGGGTTTTGTACATAAGTCAAGAATATTGTTTTCAGTTGAATAGTTCTCAATTCTAAAACGGTTTATTATTACGAAACAAATATTTTCGCGAAATACTAAACGTCTCAACGGACCAATATAAGTAGGCTTTATCAAGGTGTTGGCAATAAAAATCTTAAACGATTCCTGCAATCTGAACGCGTAAGATTTCCTTTTTGGTTCGATGTTGTTTATGTCATTTGCAGTATTTGGGTCTGCTTTACGTTGGATTAATAGATAATAGATTTTAGAGCTCGTAAATCGGTATTGCTCAACTGATAATGAAATTCCATAGTGAAATGTTAATTGTTGATTTACTGTATAAGGAGAATATTTGTTGCAAGTCGGTAGGAGTTTATCGTGCTGAGGCATTATTCTTGACTTTACCTAGGTAGAAAATTTGACATTGTTGACAGTTAATGCACTGTTTAATTGTCAACACAGTCAAATTTTCTCTCGAGAGAAAGTCAAGAATAAAGCCTCTGGTCTGGTAGGTACGGATTTATGCGAACATCTTTTTGTGCTTCAGTTGTTGATATTTTTCTGCAATTTATGATTGATCCTCATTTTCTATTTCCATTGTAGGAGAATATTTTTGAAAAACTGAAAAGTGGTTATGTTGGTAGATATTTATCGTGTTTTATTCTCAGAATATTGAGACCCTATAGAATGCTTTCTAAAGAGATGCTCTGTGTGATGGCAGGTAAAATTTAATTCTATGAACCGTGTATGTATAACAAACAAAAATCACTCTTGGTTTTTATGTTTCAAATTTTCCAAACTTTTGGGTGACCTGATATGTTTACCAAAAATTAAATCTTGCATGATTTCGTATTATATTTCACCTCAAACCCACTTTTAAAAAAACTTCTCTGATAATATGCCTAGCCATTCAATTATCTTTCGAAGGTTAATATAAAACGGCTAAAAAAACTATAAAAAAAAAGAACATGTCTGGCACCCCATATACGCAGTTCAGTGGAATTGTCAGAATAATGAACCTAGTAGAATTTGATGTTGAAAGAGTTAACTTCTAGTAGAAAAATTGTATGTGCGGTGTGCATATACTCGGATTTATATCATGATAGAGCCTGGTAATTATAAACAAATTAAACAAAAATAATTTGCATCACAGATGGTATAGGTAGGTACTTACTAAAATTTTCATTTTAAGTATTTCCAGAAGGAAATATGGCACAATAGAACTAAAGAACAAAACAACTATCGGAAAGATCAATTTAAAATGTCGATTGCTGTTCCTTTATTGTGGGTTTTAAAGCAGTTCATTACAGGACAAAGTGGTAGGGTGGCTAACATGGTACCGGTGAGTCGATTTTACAAAAAAATAGTTTTCTCAATCGTGTTGTTCTGTATTTTTCAAACTAGATTTACCGGTAACCAGTATGAGACAACAAAAAGTTTATCATGTTTTTTAGTCAGTAGGCAAATGGACTTGAAAAATATTATAGATCAGAATATTTTTACTGTTAAAGGGGTGTTTTTTACATCGATTTGACCGGCTATTTTTTCGGTGAAAGCGTGAACAGTAGTTCGCGGATTTTCATGAATGACGTTTCCAAACCGCCGTGGGGAACACACCGCGATCTAAATACGCTTATGAACTCAATTCTGTAGTTGGAAAAAAATTAGAAACTTTGCTAAAAGGTCGAGACTTTGTATTGATGGTTGTTTCTCAATACCATAATAAGATACCTTGAGCATGCTGGGGTGGAAATATCCCCAAAATCACCCCGGATTTTTTTCTTCTTCAAAGTATCCCATTTCCCAATTTTAATTAGGTAGATAGGTAAAGTCTGTCGTTTTTAATCTCAGATTAAAATCGATAGGCATTACCTACTTTAATTAAAAGATTTTAAAAAAGAATTTATTAGGGCGGGTATTATAAAACTACTTTGAGAGTTAACATAAAGTTAACTTCTGGAATTACGTGTAATTCATCAGGTAAAGTATTTTTTCAGGTCACAAAAAATGCTTACTCACAGCATAATAATCATAGCTTAGCTAAGACAGATCCGGTAATGTCGATAATTATTTTCTCGGTTAAGTATTGACATTCAGTGTTTATAACGTGCTTTATATGTCAATACCTCGCCCAAGCAATAGGAATGAGTGTCATCATAATAAGTTGAACAACTCAGCAAAGACTAAAATATATAAATAAAACAGTAGAAAAACATTACCTATATGAGTTTACATACACACTTTGGTACAATCACAAGAAATGTACATAGCTTAGCGCCAAAGACGCTAAAATTATTAATAATCAACCAGTCACTAGGTTACGCTTCACGCAGTAATATTAGTAGTTAAGGAAACATAAAATTTATTTGAAGAATAAATAGTATTTTTTGTACCTAGTGCGCGAAATGCCATCGTTGGAGTTCACCAAGAACTTTTCGCGCACGAGTTGCAAACAATATTTTCTGTACAACTCCTTTTAAATATCGATCATTCGAAGCTAAAATTTCACTTACAATCAAAGGCAGGTGAATTTTAATTATATTTGGTTTCCTGTCAAGGGTCGTATTTTCGAATTCATTGATTCATTCGAGTACATTTCGTACACGAAATTTGATTGACAGCAATGTAAATTAAATGGAAAGCATTCAAAGTCTTATCAAATTTCACACACGGAGAAGCATTTCGCGCACGGCATCATGGGAACGTTAAAAAAACCATACATGGAAAAAAAATGTAACTTCGGAAATTGTCATCCGTGTGTGAAACTCATCTTTTTTTGACAGTTGTAGAAAATAGTACATTATACACCTAGGGACTAAAGTGATATCAAAGGGAGGGCTAATATTTGTCGAGGGATTAAAAAACACTTAGTCCTGAGGTGTATCCACTATTCTATGTATTTGAGGGAAGTATACTTTTAATCCCTAGGGATTAAAAGTACCCTTTTATTCCTGGTTACCTGGTTTCATATAATCCCCGGGAAATTTAATCCCTTGGAAATAAAGTAAAATTTAGTTCTCCCACGTGGCTTGGTAGCTGGTTAAACGTTTCTGGTGCGTGATAATTCAGAGCAAAAGTATCTAGATCTAACTATTCATAATAATAATTATTGTCCCAATAGCAGGATATACAATGTATACTGAGGTGCAATCAGAGCTGCCGAGAGCTGTGTCGGGCACCGGTAAAAAAATAATGACGGATCCCCCCTCTTTTTTTTATGTCTTCCAAATTTATAATAATAATGACAAGAATATTCAATCATAAACTCTGTTCCAACAGACATAAGAACCGTTCCAGAACCAGTTATTTCCAGTTCTCAATAATGATATCCTAATTGACAAATGAATTGATCGACTGGAAATTACCTTTCTCGACCGGTTTTCATGTCTGTTGTAACATAGCTATAATAACTATGATGAACCCGGGCTTTCCTCCTCCTGTCGGGCCTGAAGCATGCGGGAATTATTTATTAGGTATCGTGGAGCCGGTTTTTTGCCGGTTTGAATACCTCCGGGCTCCGAGCACCTTGAAGGGCTTTTGCTTTTGCAGCGTGTAATGTATTAAATTTTTCATTCTTCCCCTTCAAAAATCGTGAATAGGAATGCGAAAGTGAAACATGCTAGTAGCGAAAGTGAAAGTAACTACTAGCAAGTTTCACTTTCGCTCTCGCTCGCCTATGCAAGACAAAAAAATCAATTTTTGTAGGGGGGAGAATGAAAAGATTCTTCCAAGAGCAGCAAAAATAATTTGGATACTAGAAGAAAGAGTTTCTGTGCCGATAGAAGGCAACAGGGGCACTAATTTACTGTAAATTAATACCCAAATCAGTTTATATGATTAGGTATATGCATATTTATTTGTAATAGTTATTTATGTATCAAGGGTACTAAGTAGATGATTATGCTCTGACAGCGACAGTCGTACAAAGCCGAGGGTCTCTGGCCCGAGAATTCGTAAGTCGCCCGAGGGTATACCGGGTGGTCCTCCGGGAATGACATCGATTGCTTATGGGAAAACTGTGAAAGGTAAAAATTTGAAAATTTGGCAACATAGCAATGTCGATGGGGGACATCCAGGTAAAATATTTTCAAGATGGCGGCATTTCCGGTCATACCGGAAGTTGATACCAACTCGGTTATTTTAAATAGAACACCCCATATATTAATGTATTTTTGGATTCTACATAAAATTCTGAGCAGATTTCATGTAATATACCCTATACCTAAGTTCAACTGTTTTGGAAATATTGACAGTTGAAAATTGACTTTTTGCAACTTTGACAAGCTGTAAAACCTAATTGGTTAATTTTAGAGGAAAACCGATTTCACATTCCTATCTTAGATTTTGATAAACTATCATTTGACACCAACTTTGAACTTAAACGGAGATTAAATTTAACTGAAATTTTTAATCATGGATTTAATTCAAAGTTGATGTCAAATGATAGTTTATAAAAATCTAAGATAGGAATGTCAAATCGGGTTTCCTCTAAAATTAATTGTTCAGGTTTTACAGCCTGTCAAAGTTGCAAAAAGTCAATTTTCAACTGTCAATATTTCCAAAACAGTTGAACTTAGGTATAGGGTATATTACATGAAATCTGCTCAGAATTTTATGTAGAATTCAAAAATACATTTATATACGGGGTGTTCTATTTAAAATAACCGAGTTGGTATCAACTTCCGGTATGACCGGAAATGCCGCCATCTTGAAAATATTATACCTAGATGTCCCCCATCGACATTGCTATGTTGCCAAATTTTCAAATTTTTACCTTTCACAGTTTTCCCATAAGCAATCGATGTCATTCCCGGAGGACCACCCGGTATATATCTATTAGTACCCGTGGTGCATACAAACTTTTATGTCATACCACATACCAGTTGGTTTTGAATAATAAATATATATTTTTGTAAATAAAGAATAAGTTAATCGAAAACTGTTATTTGCGTCTTATTGCCCGCTCGGGCCATATTGTGTACTTTATACCCGCGCGGGCCATAATGTGCGCTTTATGCCCGCACGGTCATAAAGTAATGAATTATGTAGATGGTATCTAAGGTATAAAAACACAATAATGTACTGGTATCACATAAAAAAATGTAAGTTATTCGGGCTCCCCACAAGTTCAGGCCCAGGTAATTTGTACCGCCTGTAATGCCCTCTCGTCAGACCTGCTGGGTGCAATAATTAAATAAATATGAAACGTTGCAAACAATTAATTTATTGAGGAAATAATCGTCTTTTCAATTCATCCCAACTCCCCTACGCCAGTCTCAAGCCTGTGGCAACCCAAGCACTAGAGGTAAGACAAGAAGTAAAGGAGGATGGAAAGCAGTGGCAAAGGCAGTGGGTAAGAATCTGGGAAAAAAAGCAGAGCTCATCTAGCCCGGATGATAGCACTCTGGAAGGGCCAGTATAACAGGGGTAGTGTTTCACAAGATTCTTGCAAATTTCTTGTTCTTGTCTTGTTCTTGCTGCAAGAACAAGACAAGACTCTCTTAAATTTCTTGTCTTGCAAAGCAAGACAAGACAAGAAGTTGCCAAGCAAGACAAGAAATTATTCCGCAAGACTCTTGCAATCTTGCAAGAAATCTTGCAAAAAAATGAAGTCTCCTTCTCTGCATATTTTTGAATTAATTTTGGCAACGTTGCGGTAGCTAACAACGAGATAAAAATGTCAGCATGTCAGTTTATGAAGTTAAAGGCATTTTTTTGCGACAAAACGTTTTGAAATTGTAGTTTCAAAACACTCAAACAGATGTTAGTTTCTAACAGTTCCTGCAGCAAGTATAGCTAGGAAAATTATTGGTCATGATGGACAGCGACACTGCACACACAATATTGAATTTTAAGCTCAATGTGAAAGCCTTTTCGTTTTCAACTATCAAGGAGTCAAGTCGAATTTGTTTTAAGGTCTGTTAGCATTGTAGTGCATAAAATAGTGACGTTAGAGCTGAAACTGTTTTAAAACGGTTTTTGAAACTGTTTCCTCGAAAAAAAGCCTTTAAACCCGTAAAGATGACAACCACGTTATTAATGACAATGACACCACTAATAATCTTATATACACTACGTTCTTTCTCATCGGTTTTCATTGCCGCGATGAAACACGTCGGTCCAAAACCGAAGTATGTGGTAGAAAACCGTCGTGTTTTTCTACCACACACTTCGGTTTTGGAACGACGATTTCCATCGCCACGATGAAACACGTCGTTCCAAAACCGAAGTATGTGATAGAAAACCGTCG